CACAGAGTCTTATCTGTGGCTTCTCTGGATATCTTTTTGGTACTGGGCAAAAAAAGATTTCCCGGCTGAAGTTTTTTAAAATAACCAACTTCAGTACACTCATCTCTGTCTTTTCCTATGTTCTGAAGACAGCAGATCTGCCTCTACGTGAATTATCCTTGGATCCCTGCTTTACGCATGGCAGTTGCTGAAATTGCCTCTGCTTTGATGTGGCCGCCTTGTTTTACGGTGGCTCAGCTCTGTTATCAGCTGGCGCTTTGAACTCTGGTTTTAATGCATTTTGATCTAGATATAGCCAAGAGAATTTTGGTGGTGGGACAACCAATAAACCAAGCAGAGGGAGAAGGGCACACCGACAAACAGATAAACATGATGTGTGTGTGAGCATCCTGGGGGGTTAAATAGCATATGAAAAAAGACATCGGAAAAAGGGGGAGGAAATATTACCATGACAGTTCAATTCCCTCTGTGGATTAATTGCAATGCAACTGCTAAATGCAGCTCCGTGACCAGGAAGTGTGATATACAGTATGCAAAGCAGAGCACTAGGATGGGTGTGTGTGTGTTTATGGTCATATCGCTGTTTGTTGTTTTTCCAACTCCATGTTGGAGCAAAGACCTTTTCCCTGTCTCCTCTTGCTGCAGTGCTTCTAAATCTCTCTCTCTCTCATTCTTTTTACAACAAAAAACTCTTAACATGAAAGAGAAACCCTGAAAAGGACTGAGCAGGAACCTGGAATGCTGGCCAAACGTTGCAGAGAAGAAATAGGAAAATGGCCAAGGAGGGGAATAGACTGGAGGGTCTCTAACAGAAGCACTTGGTGCTGAAACATTTTGTTAAAGATCTCGCTTCTCAGATCTTCAGTAAGTGAAGATGAGGCCTCTCACATTTCCTTACTTTGGAACAAGGACACACCTGAAGTGTCCTTCTTTCTCCACATGAGGCCCTGGTTTGAGGCACTGCTGCCAAGATGAGACTTTTCTTGGTCTATAGGAAAATACAGTGGTGCCTCACTTAACGACGATAATCTGTTCCAGGAAAATCGCCATTAAGCGAAAACATCGTAAAGCGAAAATAAAAACCCCATTGAAACTGCTTGCACTTCCAATTTGTTTGGAAGCACATAGTCTGTCCTATGGGAATGCAAGTAGATAAATAGGGACCACTTCGGTGGGAAGGTAACAGCGTTCCGTGTCTAAGTCGCACTGGCCATGTGACCACGGAAGATTGTCTTCGGACAAAAACGCTGGCTCTATGGCTTGGAAACAGGGATGAGCACCGCCCCCTAGAGTCAAACACGACTGGACAAAAAATTGTCAAGGGGAACCTTTACCTTTACCTTTACTACTTTTTGCCCAGGATGTGGTGGCACTGCGGGTTAATCCACAGAAGCCTCTGTGCTGCAAGGTCAGAAGACCAGCAGTCGTAAGATCAAATCCACGCAACGGAGTGAGCTCCGTCGTTTGTTCCTAGCCATTCGAAAACATGTAAAAAGGCAAGTAGATAAATAGGTACCACCTCAGTGGGAAGGTAACGGCATTCCGTGTCTAGTCATTCTGGCCATGTGACCACGGAAACTCTACGGGCAAATGTTGGCTCTATGGCTTGGAGACAGGGATGAGCGAGCACCGCGCCCTAGAGTCTGACATGACTGGACTAAATGTCAAGGGGAACCTTTACCTTTACTATTTTAAAAATTCTGTTACAGAAAGAGAGCTGAGGTTATAAGTAAATGGCTTGTTTTGGATCACAAATCAAATCCATAAAAATTTGTTTGGTGGAATGGTGGGGAAATGGCCTGCAATAAAATTTTAATATCACTTTTCTCACATTGGTGACAGCCAGTGTAGTGCAATAGACAGAATGTTAGACAAGACTCAAAAGACCTGGGTTCAAATTCTTGCCAAGCTATGGAAACTCCCTGGGGTATGATAGTGGTAAAATTAGAACAATAATTGTCTGCCATGAAGCCATTTCCAACTTATGGCAACCCTTTCCAGGGTTTCCTGGGTAGAGAATACTCAGAAGTGGTTTACCATTCCCTTCTTCTAGGGGGCGCCCCGGGACTGTGCAGCTTGCCCAAGACCACCCAGGCTGGCTCAACTCACAGAAGGCACAATAGAGAATCCAACTCCCAGCCAGAGACCGGAAACAGTGAGCTATCCAGCAAACTCTTAAATATTTCACACTACTGTACTTGGAAACCTAACTAGAATTGCCCTAAATAGGAATTGGCTTGAAGGTGCGTGATACACGTAACACTTTTATATCACATTGAACAAGCATTAGATTTCTTCCCTAAATCAACATTCATTTCTGGTCTTTAACTAAGCTAACAGAAAGTGGGTGAGAAGAAAGAGAAGGGAATATATTTGCCCTACCCAGCTGGCTCACTTAAATCATTTACAACACCATATTGGTATTCTGCATCCTTTCTGCCAACTCCAGATGGCATCACATCTCACCGGAGAATCATTAGCCGCATCAGAATGAAACCACAATTTATAGGACTTGGCTTCAGTGTTCTCCTCTTTAGGCTAATATTTTACTCCTGCAGGGCGTCTCCCAGAGGAGAGATTTCTTAAGCTGTACAAACAGAAGGGAATCCATTCTGGACGAGATGCAAAAGATAGTGCAGGGATGGATCAGAGAGGCATGAACAGGCCCCCAGCCGTTTTGCTGCTTGAGGCAGAGAGGAAAGGACACCCCTGCCCACATATTCACCTCAAACAGGCATTACCTAAAGACAGGTGATTTTGGAATATGAGGGAAGGTAAAGGTTCCCCTTGACCTTTAGTCCAGTCATGTCCGACTCTAGGGCACGGTGCTCATCCCCGTTTCCAAGCCGTAGAGCCAGCCTTTGTCCGTAGACAGTTTCCGCGGTCACGTGGCCAATGTGACTTCAGGAATCATTTTGGCTGCACAATCCGGCACACAACTGAGACATATCCTGGCACCTTGTCAATTAATGGCAATCAGCCATGACAAGTTACACCAACCAATAGGATTTCGACCATCAATGTTTAGAATTGGCCTCCAAAATGGACAATTCCAAGACTTGGGTGTAAGTTCTACTGTATTCAGCAGAACCTCCTTTGGAGTAAAGCAGCTTAGGTTCAGGATGGGATTTAAAAAGTGAAATCCAAAGCATACTTAGGGGTGGGGTGGCAGACTTGCACAAGAAGCATCAGTCAACACCAGAAAGCAGTAAGGAAAAGAGGAAAGGGGGAAAGTCAGCTTCATGAGAAACACCACCCTCATCATCTAAAATGGGTGAGGACAATGATTTGCAAACTGATTCTGCTGAGCTGATGACAAAAGTCGATATCATCTAATAATGGCATCCCAGGTACCTTAAAAGGATTCAGAGGACAGTTCAAAACAGCTCTCCATCAGCAGTAAAATAAAGGGGGGAAAAAGATAATTCTGGGCCACTCCATCAGTTGTTTGGAGCCTCTGAGGGGGTGTGATGCATTTTTAAAACATGCTGCACAAGAGAGGTGGTAGTTCAGATGGACAACACATCCGTTCTATGTAGAAGGCTGCAGGTTCGATTTCTGACATTGCCAGATAGATCTGGATTTTAAAAAGTTAAATCTGACATTCTGGAGAGCAGCTAACAGCCAGTGTTGAAAATTGTAGCCTAGATGTATCAATAATGTGACTTAATATAACATATCTTCCTAGTATGACATTTGCTAGCCCATGAAATTTTTGCTGCCCATGGAGCTGAATAAGACACCCCCTTTTCCCCTTTCAGATTCAAATACGGTACTGGATGGCCTGGAAGTTGATATGACTTTAGCCCAGGCGATGGGACCTTGGCCTCCGTCACTCCAAGGCCAGCAGGGAGGTGTTGGGGGGGGGCAGCACAATGGTACCCACAGCAATGTCTTCTAAAAGAGGAAATTGCACCAGAAATAAGAGAGGAATGGTTGAGGTGGTGGTGCCACTGCTTCTCCTCAGTGCTTGAGGTTGTTACTTCAGGTTGCCTAATGGTAGGGCTGTCTTTGTTTCCTAGATGCATCCATAAGCAGGACAGGCTGCAATTAGCTACATCACAGTGGAAATGGCATGGTTGATATCTACCAATCAATGTGTCTTGGGGGCTGTGAGTGAAAAGGATCATAGAATCATAGAAAAATGACGTTGGAAGGGGCCTACAAGGCCATCCAGTCCAACCCCCTGCTCGATGCAGGAATACAAATCAAAGCAGATCTGCCAGGTGATTGTCTATGTTTTTCTTGAATGCCTCCAGTGTTGGAGCACAGACCACCTCTTGAGGTCACTGGGTCCACTGCTGTACTGCTCTAACAGGATGTTTTTCCTGATATTCAGCCCAAATCTGGCTTCCTGTAACTTGAGCCCATTGTTGCGTGCCCTGCACTTTGGGATGAACGAGAAGAGATCTTGCCCCTCCTCTGTAGGACAGCCTTTGAAAAGTGCTATCATATGATCCCTCAGTCTTCTTTTCTCTAGGCTAAACAGGCCCAATTCTTTCAGCCTTTCCTCATAAGGCTTGGTTTCCAGCCCCCTGATCATCCTTGTCGCCCTCCTCTGAACTTGTTCCAATTGATTGGAATCTTTCTTGAAGTGTGGTGTCCAGAAGTGGACACAATACTCAAGGTGAGGCCTAACCAGGGCTGAATAGAGGGGAACTAGCACCTCATGGGATTTGGAAACTATACTTCTATTAATGCAGCCTAAAATAGCATTTGCCTTTTTTTGTAGCCACATCACACTGTTGGCTCATATTTAGCTTGTATTATATGACAATTCCAAGATCCTTCTCACTTACAGTTTTGCTCAGCCAGGAATCCCCCGCCTTGTAACTGTGCATGATGCAGGATGCATGATTAAAGCCATCAGCAGATTCCCAAAATTTCAGAAACAGTGGCTGATCACCCATTTTGATCCCCACTCCTATTCAGGATTACTGTCTTAGTCATACGAGCTATACAACCCGCACTATTCCTTGCACATAGTACTTTTATAGTACCTGCGGGTATCCATGGTTAGTAACTCGAGGAACATCAAAATCTTCCATGGTAGGATCTGGGAAAGTGATGACAGACAGTGGGAATGGAGGAGCATTAATGGGTCGATTCCTCACCTCTTCCCTGCAGAAAGAAAGAAAGAACATTTCTGGGTTCTATTCGTTTTAGTTCGCAGAAAAAAGAAGGGAAAGAGAATTACTCCAGAGTCTTAGATGTGTTTTCACAAATGTTTATCCCACTGTTTTCAGTGGAGCTTACACCCTCATTACTATGATCAATTGGGAGCTTCAGTAGATTTCCTAGAGGCATAAATGGATTGGGACAAGGGCATGATGGGCACCTATGATGTAGGAGCCACTCCTGGTAAAAAGACTCACTGAATTCAAACTTATTAAAGAAATTGCAGACCAATCATGATGTATGTTTTATTCATACTGATGCACAGTGGATTTGCAAAATTGCATTTTAATAATATGGTTGAATTTTATTTTATTTTAAGGTTCATGATGTTACTGTACAGTATTTAAATTTTCTACTGTTTTAAACTGTTTTGTAAGCTGCTTTGAGTCTCAATTCTGGGAGAAAGATGGCATATAATTATAAATAGAGGAAGGAAGGAAGGAAGAAGGCAGGCAGGCAGACCTTATAGCTAGAACACAAAATTCCTTAAGTGTTGATAGTGACTGAATGTACAGCAGGAGCACTTATAATCTCCCACAGTATTCAAATTGATTTGCTTTATGTGGAGATTGGTCTTCAGAATTTAAGCATAGAATGCCTTGAATGTCTGATTTCTCAAACACAAAAGACTGCCTTGATCTCAATCATGGTCTCTCCAACCTAACAACCTAACCTTTCAGCTCTAATCACAGGCTATACAGTATTTCGTGTTTTTAGGAAATATACACTCAGTTCCTAATGTAAGGAGCTTGAAATCTCTCCTCTTATACTCTCTGTCCCCACGGCTTCAGCTACTCACTTGTAAGCCTCCAGATTGTTCACAATTCTAGCAATGGCTACGACATCTCCATCAGGTTGTGCTAAGGGCTCATTAATACCTTTTAGGAAAACCTAGAAACAGAGAGAAAGAAGACCATTAAAGAAGATCCGGTTGCATTCTGAAAGAGGATTGTCCCATTGGTACTTGGGTAGCCACACAGACCATTTTGCAACTTGATCACTTCAAAGTTGTTTTCCATTCATCCAAAGAACCATCTGGCTTAAGGGACCTCAAAAGCCAGCCAAGCCCCTTGTGATAACATCGGTCTTCTAACCTGTCACAAATGGGTGGCCAAGATTCCAAACTGCACAAAGGCACCTAACTGAAACAGAAATCCCCCCAGAGCATAATTTACTAAAAGAATAAGTATTCAAAGAGTCTGGTGGTATGTTGTACTTTTAAATTCCTATTTAGAACATCTGGGACCAGTTTTGTGTCACTTTTGATGAAACCACTCTTGAGACTATTCTACCCATTTCCACAATCTGGATGTTTTTTTTCTGGAGGGAAAAATTGTTAGAGAAAATACCGTATTTTTCCGTTTATAACATGCCGCCTTTTCTAACCCCAAAATTAGGAAAACTTAGCTTTGAGGATTTAGAGTCTGGGCTCAGAACAGTTGGACATTACAAGTCTGTTGCATCTGAGCCTACAGGCTCCACCTCCAACCAGGTGCGTTCCTATTGTTTTGTTTAGCATCAGCTGGCATCAGTTCCATAAGGTTTGTAATTGGAGGAGGCTAAGTCTGCTGATGACAGGAAGTTAAGCTTCGTGACTGAAGGAAGCCTGTTTACAGAGGCAAGGTATGTGCTGTTTTGTTGATTCCTGAGCTATCTCAGCTTACTTCTGTGTAAAAGACACCCTTCAAATTTTAGTGTAATGGTTTTAGGAAAAAGTTGTGTCATACATTGAAAAATATGGTAACTACCTTGAATGCAATCTAGTACTGTACTGGGTTTCAGTAAGGGGGCTTCACAACCTAACATAATTATGCCTTGTGACTAACTGATTAGTAAAGTCCTTTCCCCCCAGGCTTGAAGCAAGCCCCCAAACCCTCTTCCTGCGTTTTTGCTTCCTGAATGTTTGCTCTCTCTCTTCTCTGACTTTTGACTGTGGTAGACGTGTAAACTTTTCTTCCTGACCTATGACCATGCTACCAACATGGTGGATTTCAGTATTCCAAAATGGTTTAGACTTTTTAAAAATTTTATTCTTCTGATTGCAACTGAACTTCCACAACTGTAAGTCAAGATTTTTTCTTTTTCTATTTAAGCTACATTTAGAGTGATTTTTATACAAAGTGCTAGTCATTGTGAGAACAAAAGGGATTGAGTGGAAGCTAGGATTTTTAGCTATTCTCCTTCCCATTTCCCCTGTGCTGCAGCTAGCTTTTGTGCTTCATGCTCTGCTAGCTAAAAAGGAATTAGCCAAAAATTCATCCAACAAAATTCTGCTAAATTTGCCCTGAAAGTTTGCTCTCAAAATATTCATTTTCTAAACATATTTTGTTTCAAAATAAAGATTTTTAAATGTGCTTTCTTTCCTTTTGTGAGTGGAGAATCGAATTAAAAGTAGAAATAGGAAGTATAAAATCTTGCGGATAACTAAATTCCAGCCTCTCCTTTATTCTAGATCAGGTTAGCTTATATTGGAATATACAAAGATTAATTTTTCAAGGATATGAACATACACTTTCTAGCCTGATACAAAGCAAGCTACATACCCCAAAGTATTTGTGTCCAGGTCCAATGGGACAACCTGGAGTTTCAAGTTCTGTTTTTGAGATCCCTTTAGATCCCTTGTTAATGAATTGCAGAATTGGAAGGGGTCTCAAGGGTCATATAGTCCACTCCCTCTTTATGCAGCATATCTGCTTCTACAGCATCCCTGGTAGATGACCATTAATCTTCTGCTTTGAAACCTCTAGTGAGGGAGAATTCACAACTTTCTGAGGCAGTCTGATCTGTGCTTCAACAATTCATTCCTTCAGGCTGGCCCTGCATGGATTGTACAGCTGAGAGGCACCCTAGCACCACATCAATTAGCCACAATTGATGAGCTGCTAGGGTCACAACTGAGGAGCTGCTGAGCCAATACAGTTTTTCTACTATGAGCAAGAAAAATCTTAGAATTACTATAGGTCATAAGTTGAATATGACCCAAAAGTGCAATACACCTGCAGAAAAGATAAATGCTTTTTGCCCCAATTATATTAAACCAGATGCTCTCAATGGGGCAACCAAGTTCATCCTCCCATATTTCAGGAATATATATAGTATGTATATATATTATATATATTTAACATATAGTGTGACTCCACCTCCCTTTCTATTCTTTCTGGTCAATCTGAGCAATTTGTATCCTTCAATTGCTGTGTTCCAGTCATGGGACTCATCCCACCCAGTTTCCGTTATCTCTATCAAGTCATATTTACCCTCCTGAACTAAGATTTCCAGTTCTTCTTGTTTGTTTCCCAGTACTCCTGACATTTCTATACAGACACCAGGGACTCAATGATTTGTGGCCTCTTTCCCTTCATACATTTTTATGAAGATTATTATTGGGCCCCATTACAGCTGCTCACTCTTCTTCTCTTCTGATGCATGCTACCAAAGCAAACAGAAGGAACAGAATGAAAAGCATCTTCTCTGAACAAGTGGAGATGGAAATCTCGGAGGAATGGCGGAATGAGCCCAAGGTCCTGTTATGCTGCTGATGCCAAGAACAGAGGACCATGATGATGGCAGGGACAAAAGAGGAGGGCACTACTAGAAATGTCTGGACATCAACGAAGCTGCTTCCTTCCTTCTTCTTCACCAAAACATCTCATCAAGTAAGAGAGATGCTGCTAGCTTGTTTTGCCCATGCTCCTCCCAATGAACAAGGCTGCCTTTTTGGTCCCTCTGCCTCCGTCCTTCCCTCCCCCTGCTCTGACATCCTACTGATACCTCCATCAAAGCACCTCTGCCAGCAGGGCTAAAAAGGTAACTTTTCTGACACTGATCTGCAAATTTCTGTGATAACATTTTAAAGCTCAGTTTATTCCATAATAAATTTTTCAGGAAGAATGATGAGTGAATTTTTGCAAGTCCGTTGTCAAGAAGAACCCCCGGGCATAGCTGAAGTCTCCAAAAAGGCTTTGTTGGCAACTTTTGTACAATATATGTTGCAGTAATATGGAATAATCTAACCCCAAGGTTGTTAAGGCATAGAAAGTAAGAAGGGTTCCTCCTGAGATAAGACATCACACTGCCTTGCAGCAGTCTGTTGCCCTTCTGGATGCAGGGAAAACCACCATATGCCCTGAAACAGAAAATACTAGACTGCAGGAAGAAGGCTGGATTCCCCCTAGGATAATGAACCATCCTGCTCTAAATAGATCAACCAGAAAGGTCCTTTTGTGTCCTTCCTGTTGTTTCCCCTGTAAAACCTTAGCAGATGAAGCTGCTCTCCCATGCATGATGTTCCTTCAAAGGAGGGTGTATGGGCAGGGCTGTCCCTTCCCCATGCCCTTAATCAGTCTCCTGCTGGGATTAAAAACAGTCCTCATCAAAGAACATTATCATTTTGCTAATGCAAATATGACAATCAGGCAGCTGTGGTCAGTTCTAGCCGAGAGGTCCCGAGGGAGGCGAGCCCTTCCAAGGCATGCTCCAGTGTACCCCAAGGAACAGGGAAGCTGTTGATCGAATGCCCCTCCTCTTTGCGGCACCATCAGCAATGCAAATCAACCTTTCCCTTGGCTGGCAATCTTTCAGACTAACAGGGGAGGCAGGAAGCCTAGAGGGCTTGGCTTCCCTGGGGGTGTTTCCTTGCACAATGGCGGGAAAGCTTTTGCCCCAAATACCCACGATCGATGCATCTGAGCTGACACCAACCATGCATAAATTGGTCCCGCATCAAGACCAATATCCAGTCCTGGTTTTGCTTTTTAGCAATTCACCTCCAGGGGGCAGGTTGCACTCGACCAAACAGGATCCTGAGGGGCTGAGGACGGGAATTGCCAGAATTGTTAATTTTCCAGGAAGGTGAGATAGGAAATAGAGTGACTGGAGGAAAGGAGAGAATGGGACTTAATGCATTATTTTCTTTTAAATGATTAATAGATATTGTTGATATTTAAATCCCCCTCCGCATGCACAGCTGTCACATCAGATGAGGAATTGTTTGCAGGAACAAAAAAAATAAGCAAAATACTCAGCTACTGGAAATTCAGGGTCCCTAAACCACACTTTAGGCTGAATGCTTCATATAATGTAGACCAGTCTGGCCAACTTCTGAACATGCGGACAGTGTTTCACATCAGATGAGGAATTGTTTGCAGGAAAAAAAAATAAGCAAAATACTCAACTACTGGAAATTCAAGGTCCCTAAGCCACACTTTAGCCTGAATGCTTCATATAATGTAGACCAGACTGGCCAACTTCTGAACATGCAAACAGTGTCTGAATTTTTTTCTGGGCAACTGAAATCTGTGTTCACACACCCTTCCACCCCATTCACACACATACCGTTGCCCCTTCTGATTTCTCAAGGAAAGGCTTTAAAGGCGTTCAAAAAAGGAAAAGGGATAAAATTACATAGAGGCTGGATTGAGATCCTTGGAAGCTTCTGGGGTTCTGATTTGCTGTGGGATGGTGGAGACTGAAGTTGGTGAACTTGTGGTCTGTAGGGGTCTGGGAGTAGCTGTGGAGGCCCCCTGGGACCCAGAGGGTGTAATTTGCTCAACTCTGGTGTAGAGATTACTTAGCATCCTGAACCAAAAACCAATTTGCTCACCAAATTCCTAATAATCTACTTTAAGTTTTGTAAACCAAACCAACCCCCAGCCCCCATTTTGCTCTGCAGAATAAGGCAGAGGGAACAGGCATATTGTTTTAAAGGAAAATTGGCAAACCTCCTTTTCTTAAGGGGAAATTCTATGAGGGAGCATTTGGAGAGGAATGGGTGGGCCACAGGGTGCTTGTTGCCCTCCTCTGCTCTAAGAGATAGATAGATAGATAGATAGATAGATAGATAGATTGATTGATTGATTGATTGATTGATTGATTGATTGATTGATTGATTGATTGATTGATATACTGCCCTATTAGTGTGATGCACTAATCTAGGTGGTTTACAACAACAAATAAAACTATGAATGCCATAACAAATTAAAACAGTTGACAGAATAATACAAGGGGCACCAGAGACAATTTCTCTATACGATAGCAGGACGAGAGGCATACCCTCAGAGGAGGGCAATGTGAAAGGCCTCCCTGAAAAGCAGCATTTTAAGTTGCCTTCTAAACGTTTACTGGGAGAGGGCCAGGCATACCTCCACTGGGAGAGGGTTCTCCAAAGCCAGTGCCATCGCGAAGGCGGCCTGACCTCTTGAGGATGACTTCTGGGTCTCCCTCAGAGTGGCTACCTGGAGGAAAACAGCCTGGGAGGATCTGGTGGGTCAGGCAGATTACATTGGGGAGAGATGCTCTCACAAGTACGGTAACTTGGTCACAAACTGTGAAGAGCTTTATACGTAAGCATCAAAACCTTGAACCTGATGGGGGCCAGAACAGGTAACCAGAGGAAACTGTTGCAAAAATTGGGTTCAGTCTCTGAAATATTTTATTTTGTGCAAAACAGCAGATGCACCAGCTCTTGCTGACAGAAAACAATGTGTCTCCCTGGGCAGAAGAGGAAGATTTGGTTTTCTAGTCCCCCTCCCTTCCTGTTTCTGCCATCTGTTACTTGTGTTCAGGTGTGAATTTCAGGCCAGATGGATCTTTCACCTGGAATTAACCCAGTCAACATATTGAAACCATGAGGTCTCCCAGTTCCTCTTTTACATATGATAAGGTACAGAGACAGCAGAGCAGGAAACTGTAGGGATTGTGCTAAAATTCTCACCTATTGAGTGCTCACAAGAGAAATGATCAAATGCAGTGTGACCTTTCTAAATATTTCTACGTATCTCCCAATAGCCATTCTTAATAGGTACAGTACAGTGGTGCCTCGCATTACGACGTTAATTCGTTCCAGCGAAATCACTGTAGAATGAAAACATCGTAAAGCGAAAATAAAAAAGCCATTGAAACGCATTAAAACTTGGTTAATGAGTTCCAGTCGGCTAAGAACTCACTGTCCAGCGAAGATCCTCCATAGGAGTGGCCATTTTGGGGTGCCTAAAGAGCGAAAAATAGCTCCTAAACACAGCAGGGAGCCATTTTGAGCACCCGGCGGCCATTTTGAAAACCCGACGATCAGCTGTTTTGATCGCTGGGAAGCGAAAATCGGTTCCTGAAACAGGGAACCAATCATCACGCAGCGAAATTTCCCCATTCAAAACATCATTTTGCAATTGCTTTTGCGATCGCAAAAACCTCATCGTAATGCGGATTCGTCGTTAAACAGAGCGCCCATCTTGCGAGGCACCACTGTAATTTGAATTCCAATATGCTTTCTTACATAAAATACAGACATTCCCTTAACCGAGATGAGCCAAAATGGAGTGAAGTGATCCAATTTGCTCACACCAGGCGCCAGTCTGGCCGCCATGTTTCGGGCCCATCAATGATATTCAGTATTCAGGGCTCAGATGAATGTTGCTATGACCTATTCAGGCATTATAGAATGTGTTTTATTCAACATGCTTAAGGGAGAGGGCCTAGGCCTGCCCCATTATCATGGTTTTCTTCATGTGATCACCAGTGAGTCCGAAGGAGAGAGCTTCCAGCTTGTATAGAAACCTTCCATCCAAGAAAACCGGGCTACTACCCGTACAGAGAGTCCCCATGGGAGTGGGGAACCTCAGCTTTTTAGTCTCACTGGTGATCACATGGAGAAGGGACAGAGGTGGGTGGGGTGAAGAGTTTCCCTCAAACTGTCTTGAGCAAACTGGTTCCTACAATATCTGAATAGGGTTCCACTGCACCAGCATGCTAAGCCCTCCTGTCCCTTGAGGTAGGAGAAACACCACCACTGTCCTCATCTCCTCCGGCACCTGTGCCCATTCCTGCTCTTCTTCCATCCTTGCCTGCTGCTGCTCTCCTCCTCCTCATTTTCATTGTCAGCACGTTGAAACAGTGGCTACTAAAAACGGCCAGCTTGTTTTCATCCTGTATCAGGAGGATCAGCCGAAAGCCCTAGTGGTCGTCGGGCAAGGTTTTACAATCAATTCTACATGCAACCTGATGAAAACGAACATGCTTGCTTGCTTGCTTGCTTCTACTGGCCAGTTAGCAGACTTTTTTCTTCCTAGGCTAAGTGATTTCTTCTTTTCCTTTACCAAATTAGAATACTTTATTATTCTTCGTTCTGAGTCATTTGATCCCCATATGACCAAGAGCATGGAAGCAAAATAAAATGCTCCATGCAAGGTGAGCCATGTCTGATCTCCTTGGCTGAGATAGAAATCCACTCTTCTGTTGCCTATTTTATTTTTCCTCCCTCCTCCTACCATCTGATGCCTAGAATCTACAGAAAGCACTGAGTAATTTGGGTGCCTTTTCTTTCTTTCTTTCTTTCTTTCTTTCTTTCTTTCTTTCTTTCTTTCTTTCTTTCTTTCTTTCTTTCTTTCTTTCTTTCTTTCTTTCTTTCTTTCTACTTGAAAGCAGTGCCTGATGGATTATTTGTGTTGGTCAGTGCAGCAGGTGATTGCTGGGCATTTCCTCTATGCCAGCGGTCCCCAACCTTTTTAGCCCCGTGGACCAGCTGAGGAAGGCAGGGCACACTGAGGGAGGCAGGGCACCCCCCTGCGCTTGTGTACATGTGCGAAGGAGAGCTATCTCGCTCGTGTGCATGCACAAAGGGTGATGCAGCCCCCCTGCACTCGTGCACATGTGCGAAGGAGAGCTCTCTCGCTCGTGTGCATGCACAAAGTGTGATGCAACATTCATTCAGGCAAGCTCGCACGCAGGTGCAAACGGGCTGTGTGGAGGGAAGTGCATGAGGGGGTGGGGGGTGAGGTCTCTCTCCACAGCCCGGTCCAGCTCAGGCCATGGACCAGCACCAGGCCGCGGACCGGTGGTTGGGGACCTCTGCTCTATGCAGTCCAATCCCTGGGGTACTGCACTTACTGATGTTCAGCAAAGAGGTTTCAAAGATATTCCTGCTGCTAATACAAAGCTCACCCATATGTTTTAAAATATGACAGCCATTTTGAATCAGCCAGCCCCCTCTGCCCAATAATTAATGCTGCTTGCATTAATACCTTTAAATTAAGTAAGGACATACCGGTATGTGAGCAACCAACCAACCAAAACAGGGGGAAAAGAGGAGCCTGCAGTGATGGTATGTTAAGCCAGGGAGGTGGGCAGCTGAGGCCCTAACGGAAGGAACTGTGTGGTTTCCTGCCCTTGCATCCAGCCATCTGATATGCTTGCCTCATGCTGCCTAATAGCAGGGCCAGCTCTGCTCAGCCACTCGTGTAGCACCGCTCCCCCACGTTGCACTGTCCCGCCAAAACATCCCACAATGTTTCTAAAACTCACTAACTTTACCTTGACTGCCCCACTTGAGAAACTGGGATAGATCTTACCTCCAAGCCTGTGTAATTCACTCCCCCATAACGTGGGATGAGACTGCGCTTACGGACGATGGTCGCATACAGTTTTGTCCCGGTCGGGTCCTTTTTCCGAGGCTGTTTGAGAGGAAGAATAGAGTTGCAAAGTGAAAAAAGAGCAGAAAGCAGACATTACACAGAACCCATAAAAATATCTATTAAAATGCACAAAGAAAAGCAGGCCACCAATCACACAATCTCCAGTATCTATATATGTATGCCAGGAGAATGGGAAATGAACAAAAGGAACTGGAAATCTTAGTTCAGGAGGGTAAATAGGACTTTATAGGGATAACTGAAACTTGGTAGGGTGACTCCAATGACAGGAATACAGCAATTGAAGGATCTACCGGAAAGAATAGAAGGGGAGTTGGAGTTGCCGTAGATGTTAAAAATACACATTCCTGCATAGAAATACAGGAGGAGGAGATTGGCTGCCCCATTGAGAGCATCGGGATCAATGTAGTTGGGGCGAAAAACAAAAGGAACATGGTAGTTAGAGTTTACTACCGACTGACAATCAAGGAGAGGATGAGGATGAAACTCTTAAAAAACTGCAAGGATTTCAAAGAGACACAGTGTAGCAGTGATGGGAGATTTCAATTATGCATATAACTGTTGGGAGGCAAATTCTGCCATGTATGACCTTCACAAGAAATTCCTGGCTTGCGTGCCTGATAATTTTCTCCTACAAAAAGTGGAGAATGAAACTAGAAGACTAGTTATCCTTGAGTTGATTCTAACCACACTTGAGATGACTTGGAGAAGGAAGTGGCAGTAAGGGGGAACTCTTGGCGAGAGTGACCATGTTCTACTAGAATTCTTGATTTCAAAGGAAACCAAAGTAGAATGTACCCACATATATGTACAGTATATGCTTGATTTTTTAAAAGTCAATTTTAATAAACTTAGAACAAGAATAAGTAAGGTCCCATGGTAAGAGATCCTAACAAGAAAAGGAGTCAAAGAAGTGTGGGAGTTTTTAAAAAAGCAGATTTTAAAGGCACAACTACAATTATCAGAAGAAGAAAAAGATGGGAGACAGTAAAAAAAGGCCATTGTGGCTTCACAAAAAGCTCAAGAGGACCTGTAACCAAAAAAGGAGAGGTATAGAAAGTGGCAAGGAGGCCAGGCCAAAAAAGAAGAGTACAGACAAGTAGCAAGGAATTGCAGGGATGGCATTAAGAGGGCAAAAACTGAGAATGAGCTGGGGTTAGCTAGAAACACTAAAAGCAACAAAAAATTATTCGGGTATGTGTGTAGCAAAAGATAAGGAAAAGAAACAGGCATAGATACTAAATGAAAATGGAAAATAATAACTGATGACAAAGAAAAGGCAGAGGTTTTAAATTCCTGTTTTAGCTCAGCCTTTTCCCATACTGTAGGACAGACTATGAACCTCCAGGCAAATGTGAAGTGCAAGGGGGGGGGGGGAACAGGATTGCAGCTGGAGATTGATAAACAAATAGTTAAGGACTATCTTACTACCTTGAACGAGTTCAAATCTCCAGGGCCGGATGAAACATATCCAAGAATATTTATGGAACTGGCTGAAGAACTCTCAGAACCATTGTTTTCTTGAAATCATGGGAAATAAGGGAGGTGCCAGAGGATGGGAGGAGGGCTAACATCCTCCCTATCTTCAAAAAGGGCAAGAAAGAGGAACCCGGGAACTACAGGCCAATCAGCCTGACATCAATCCCAGGGAAAATTGTGGAATAAATTATAAAACGGTCACTTTGTGAGCAACTAGAAAACAATGCAATCATAACTAGAAGCCAACACAGATTTGTCAAGAACAAATACTACCAGAATAACCTGATTTCATTTTTTGATCAGGTAAGCTCACTGATAGACGGAGGGGATGCTGTAGACGTAGTATATCTTAACTTCAGCAAAGCTTTCGACAAAGTGCCCCATGGTATCCTGATTAGCAAGTTAACTAGGTATGGGCTGGCTAATACTACTGTCAAATGGATACACAGTTGGCTAATCATACTCAGGGGTGATAATTGGCCAACTGTGGAAATTGGGTGGAAATAACAAGTGGGGTACCCCAGGGCTCAGTCCTGGGCCCTCTGCTCTTCAGCATTTTTATTAATGACCTGGATGACAGAGTGCAGGAAATGCTAATCAATTTGGTGAATGGCAGAAAACTGGGTGGAGTAACTAATATCCTGGAAGACAGAAACAAAATTCAAAATGATCTTGAGCACTGGGCTGAAAACAGCAGAATGAAATTCAACAGGGATAGGTGCAAAGTACCAGAGGGCCCGACACACAACAATTGGCTCAAGTTACGGGAAGCCAGATTTCAGTTGAATATCAGGAAAATCGTCCTAATTGTCAGAGCAGTATGACAATGAAACCAGTTACCTCGAAAGGTGGTGAGCACTCCAACACTGGAGGCATTCAAGAGAAATTTAGACAACCACCCAGCAGACATCCTTTGATTTGTACTTCTGCACTGAGCAGGGGGTTGGACTCGATGGCCTTATAGGCTCCTTTCAGCATCACTATTCTATGCTTCTATGAAACGAAACTCTTTCCTATTTATAAACTGTGTGGATAGCTCTGTGGTGGCCCCAAACAGCCGTAAAGCAGGGATTGGTAATTAAAGCTCACATTCCCCTAGAGAGGCCTGTCTAGAAAGATCAATATCATTAATCTTTGCTGCTTGCCATTTCAAGATTTTACAACTCATCAAAACCTGGCTGCTGCCACCATTTTATTCACTCTTTAGGAAAAGTAAAAACAGGGTTTGTATACATGAAGAGAAAGAAAAAAGAAATAAGAGCCAAAGTTAGAGTCGTATTTATTAGAGGCATCAGCTAGGGGTCATTTGGAGTGGAGGGGGGCACAGGGAGCTCCTGTGCCAAAATTGCATCACATATAGTGAGCAAGACCAAACTTCTTCCCTCATCATACATTCCCTGAACACACAGCAGAGGTTAACGGAATAACTTTTCATGACTTGTTGTAACACTTGCTGGCCACCGGAGCTAGTTTTGAGACGATCCCCAGGAAATGAAGACAAGCTCCAGGCTTACTTACAAGGAGACAGGTTTATTGGGTACTTTACAACACACAAGTGTTCCTAATGAATTGGAATGGATGAAGGCATGGATCAGAAGCCAGTGCAAGTAGTCTGAGCACCCAATGAGTAAAACGATCCCAATCTTTATGCGGTGATCCCCATATCCACAGGAGATTTGTATCCTCCATGGATACTGAAAACCGTGGATAATAGCAATCTCTCTCTCTCTTTGTGTGTGTGTGTGTGTGTGTTCATAACAGAGTCTCTCCTTCCCTCTAATGGCTGGTTCTGGCAATACATGTGACAGTTTTTTTCTGGATTTGTTTTCTTTTAATTTTTTTAAATATTTTCAGACCATGAATTAGTGAATCAGTAGATACTGATCTTGTGGATAATGGGGTCCTACTGGACATTTTTCACTGTTTACACCAAGAGGTTGCTACTGGGTAATGCATCGTTACTATATCATGCACTGAAGAGTGATACTGGCATATGAATTACTCCTGTACCAATGCTTTGCCATTATAAGCTCAGGTATGCACAGCTGAAGTAAATAAGCTTGTTAGTGGTGTAGGATAAGTAGCATCTGCCTCCAGCTACCTTCCTATTCCCAAAATGTAATGCAGCGTTCACATTTTTTCTCCATCTCTAAATCTTGGGAACATTGGAACAGCTTTAACTACAGAAAATGGAGGACAGAAATCAAAATGGAAACAGACAGCTCCTCTAAATTTAGGCTACGATATTTGTATATACTAACCATTCCAAGCTTTGACAATAGTACACCAAAGAAAAAGTTCAAAGACAAGGAAATGATGGGTGGAAAGAAAACACTCTTGAAATCCTAGAAGCCTCGGATTGGACACTGTTCCCTGTATCTCCTGCAACTGTTCGTGTTTTTGCAGGCACTGCTAGCAACATTGGAAACTAGCTTATACTGAGTCTGACAGTTCCTCCATCTGGCCCAGTTTTGTCAGCTCTGACTGGCAGCAGTTCTCCAGGGTTGCAGGACAGATTTGTCAGCTAGAGGAAGCCAAAGATTCTGACACTGGGAGATGGGGGGGAACAGTAAATCTGCTCTGGTTTTTAGCCTGAGCTTCAAAGAAGCTACCCAAGGTGGTGAACCTATTTTGAGGGTAGCGTTCAGAACTCTGGATAGCTCCTCTTCAGTTCAGACTAAAGCCTAGAATTGGTTGATTTACTTTCCCCCACCAATATTGGAATCACCAGCTTCTGCTGTTATCAGCTCCACCTAGAGAAGGAACCTGGGAATTTGAGCATGCAAAATGTTGACTTATGCCTTAGACAAGTCCCAACTCAACAGCTTTCCAGGCTGCAAACTAAAGTTCAGTTCAATAACTGGCTGTAAAATATGGGCAACCATTCAGGGTCACAAATGCAAAGAATCACACTGAGAACTAATGGCAGAGCCTCCAGCATCTACAAACAGACTTCTAAGTCTAAGACAGCTAATCATTACGGTCTCATCAATACATGCCCATTCCTTTTTTTTTAAAACCTACTCAGTGTGCAAATGAGTGGAATGGCATAAAGAATAAAGGTCAGTGTTTGTTAATGTTTTGGATGCAGGAAGAGAAAGCTGCTGGGCCTTGCTACATTAGGCACACTGTGAGACCTTCTATCTAAACGGAAAAAGCTTCTTATCTATGGACATTAGGACTGCATAGAGGTGATTGATTGAACCACATATGGAGCCACTCTTTTACATTCCATCAAAAGGTCTTGAAAGCATGTCACAAAGTTTATTTGGTTTATTACATAGTCTTAGACAAAAAAAAAAACTTTCCCTGGCTTAACCCCCACGCCCGCTCGCCCTGGCCCAGCTGGTCCAAGTACCTGAAACCGACATCAACAGTATGGAACCCATTTCTTAATGGGATGTTTGGGGAACCCTTTATTCATTTTTCTGGTTTGCAGCTTTCTCCTGAGTAGTTTTAGGCATCTGTAAAACTACATGTCTTCTTTCTGTTTTGTTTTGTTTTGTTTTGTTTAAATGTTCAGTAAATGTTCAGCAGGCTAATATTGCCCCCTCATTTCTCTGTGGCCAATTTTGATCAACATTCACTGCCCAAGTTTGTTATTAAAAGGATAAAATATGGCTATCGCCAAGTTGTCCCACCAGTGTTTTAGGCATCTAGCTGCAGAGCCAGAGGTTGGTTGGGGGTTCGAATCCCCACTGTGCCTCCCTGAGAGGAGCTGCACTCAGTGATCCATAGGGTCTCTTCCAGATCTGCAGTTCTATGATGATGATGATGATCTTTTTTCCCCTTTTTCTCACTCCAAACATACATATATGTTCATTCAATGTGCTTCTGTTCTGTCCATTTGTCAAAGTTCTGAAAATTTCCCCATTAGCTGCTTAGGAAGAAGAGCAAACCAAAGGTTAGGCTACTGGTACTTTTTAAGCTGCCTCGATCCATGATCTGAGCCAAAACCAGAACCAGACTGGGCAGCCTGTGTTGGTCTGCACAGACCTACAGCTGGTTGAGGTCCACAAACCGGAGCGTCTTTTGGCTGAGATCTATGGCCAGAGAGGCCAGTGAAAGGCTTGTGATCTTTCAAATCCTTGCCAGTCTTTCACTTTCTTCTGCTGTCTTTTCATGGAAGTGCATCAAAGTCTTTCTAGAGGAGGGGTAGGCAAGCATGGAAAATCTAGAGGGCTGAATCTACCCCATTTTACACACACACACACACACACACACACGCACGCACGCACGCACGCACGCACGCACGCACGCACGCACACACACACGCACGCACGCACACACACACACACACACACACACACACCTACCTCTGATTGCTACCCCATCCCCTCTCTTACCCCCCCTTCTTAAAATGAAAGTGTCAGGAAGTTCACTTCTAGTTTTGGAGGAAGGGAGGAAAAAGAGGAGGGGAAGTGGGGAGGGAGAGGATGCTATGACAGATGTTTAAAATACGTGGCATGACCTCCATACCTGACATAGTCTTGAAATACAGAAGACCACTCTTTTTTTGGTGATGGGAGATCTGGGATGCCCAAGAGCTGTATTGGAAGCGCTGACAGCCCAGATGTGGCCTGCAGTCCACACAAAGCCCAATCTTATTTTAGATTCTGGACCTGGACTACCTTGATTAGTAGTTCCCAAACTTTGGTCCCCAGATGTTGGCCCACAGCTCCCAAAGCCACTTGCCTTTTGCCACACTGGCAAAGGTTTTTAGGAGTCATCATCCATCCACACCATTTGGGAGGCCACTTTGGAGAAAACTGCTTTAGATGGTATTGTGTTCCTTGCACTAAGCCAAGAGTGAGAGTGTGTGTTTGGAGACCCTGACGTTCATCTTACAGAGCAGAACTCTGGATGGCACCACCAGTCTCAGCAAAGAAGAACATGTTAGCATTAAAAACATCTTTTGCAAGATGATTATTTTCAAGATTGGGGTAGAGAGAGAGAAAAATCACATTTCTGTCTCTTTTAAAGAGCCCCCAGAAGAATTAGCCCATTTCTTTAAGCTCATTTCTCTGGCTTGTGAGGCTTTCAAAATCCAAAATATTTTCTCCGTACGGATTATCACGGTTACATAAAGATTTCCTTTGCCTGACCTCACTGAACTTCATTCAAATGGTTCTTGCGTAAGACCAGCTGTTGTTCGTAAGCCTGGAATTGAGAGGAGAAGTCCACCTACTTAGAGAAAGCGCATGGTGTTCTCTCCTCAGGTGAAAGAGCCACCTCAGAATGCAGAAGGGTGGTGGCACACTTAAAAGGTTCCCCTGTGTGAAACATGCCCAATAAATGGAAAACTAGCAAGTGGGGGAGGGGAGATAAATAAGATCGCTTCTCCCTTGACCGGTGCTGGATATGTTCCCATGGTCATGTTCATGAAGGAAGGTTTTAAAGCACAGGCACCCATGTTGATTCGTATTGCCAAGCCACTTTCAGCAGCATTCATCAGGATGAGACTGCCTTTTTGTAAAGCTAATGGCTCTTCATTGCTCACTGAAGACCACACTGCTCCTGAAATTTTGTGTGGAACATCACACAGTAATACGCCGGCAGTGAGAAAATGGACCTCATCCCCTCAGTTATTTTGAGGATAGCAGCTTGTGCTCAAAAGGGATAGAGAAGATTGGGTGGGAGATTACAACATACTGTAGTTTCTGATCAAAAAATCCTAGTGGTTGGACCTTGGAGCTGTAGCTTTACTATAACACTCCCTCTAGTAATTTGTTTTGTTTTCTTCTTCTGTGTATAAAGGTAAAGGTTCCCCTTGACAATTTTTGTCCAGTCGTGTTCAACTCTAGGGGGCGGTGCTCATCCCCCTTTCCAAGCCATAGAGCCAGCGTTTTGTCCAAAGACAATCTTCCATGGTCACATGGCCAGTGCGACTTAGACACGGAACGCTGTTACCTTCCCACCGAGGTGATCCCTATTGATCTACTCGCATTTACATGCTTTCGAACCGCTAGGTCGGCGGGAGCTGGGACAAGCGATGGGAGCTCACTCCGTCGCGTGGATTCGATCTTACGACTGCTGGTCTTCTGACCCTGCAGCACAGGCTTCTGTGTATACATACTGTAAAACCTTATCAGTTCAATGCAGCCCTATTATGTCCCTTATACTACTGGCAGGAACATAAGCAAGGAATGGTATCAATTGTTCAGGTTTCACCACCAGGGCCTGCAGTTCCCCACCTCTGCTCTGTACAAATGTGAACCTGAACTTCACATTTTAACATGTTTCTGAAATGCAGAAAGGAACCGTTGAGCTTTGAATTCCATCATTCACGGGGTGCCATCACTCAGAAAGCCCTGTCCTGCAAACATACCTGCTATATCTTGGATTTTGGAAAGAAGCAAAACAGTGCATCCTCCAGAGGCCAAAGCAGGTGGAACAACCTAATAAAGGTAGGGCTTTATAGCTGGGTAAGCAATCTCCCATCTGTGGACTTTAGAGGGTCACCCTTATTCCCATGACACCCCCCCCCAATTTTTTAAAATCTACTGAGGATCCCTGAAAATGAGTAGACATAGTCTAGAGGGGCAGGGTAAAAATCTAATAAATAAATAAAATAAACATAGTAAAATTGTCCTTCATTGCCCAGAGAGACACAAGAGAATTATTTGAAGCTTTTTGAAAAACAGAATTGGGGGAACAAGGTTGCAGGAGGGACATAGAGATAGCCCATGGAATTAAGCATGCGGTCCCTGCCATCATTCACGGGGTGCCATCACTCAGAAAGCCCTGTCCTGCAAACATACCTGCTATATCTTGGATTTTGGAAAGAAGCAAAACAGTGCATCCTCCAGAGGCCAAAGCAGGTGAAACAACCTAATAGAGGTAGGGCTTTATAGCTGGGTAAGCAATCTCCCATCTGTGGACTTTATTCCCAATTGTTTTTTTAATCTACTAAGGATCCCTGAAAACATAGTAAAATTGTCTTTCATTGCCCCCAGAGACATAAGATAATTATTTGAAGCTTTTTGAAAAACAAAATTGGGGGAATAAGGTTGCAGGAGGGACATAGAGGTAGCCCATGGAATTAAGCATATGGTCCCTGCATTTATGCATGTGAACATCCACCTACATTCTATCCTGGTGGTGTCTCATGAAGGCTACACAGCTGACCATTTCTGAATCTCCCATGGGTTCTTCGTAAAGGCAAGCAGGTAGACAGTGCCAGATTAATTCACTCTTTAGAGAGTAGATTACATGCAAAGACTCACCAGCAGCAAAGCGCAATGATAGTGATGGAAAGGGTGCAGGTACTTCACAGGTATATTGTATTTGGCTAAGACCTCTTTGGTGTCTTTGTCAGCTACAGTCAAGGTTACATCTAGAAATAAGAGAAACAGCAGGAAATGCTATCAGCGTACAGTACAAAGGTGCCTGGTGACAAAAGTGCACAGAGAAACAAGTGAGCTGTGTCCAGATCTCTCCATATTCATTCATTTAACCATTCTTCAAATCAATGCTCTCCAGATTTGTTTGACTTCATCTCCATTCTCTTGGCTGGAAATGATCCCAAACTAGGATTGCTCTTTTGTTTAAAAATTTGGAGCACTGGATAGGTTATTTGCCTCTTATTTAACAAGGAGCTGGTTCTTCTATAACTACTTTTGTGTGTGTGTGTGTTTGCATCTCAGCTCTTTCTCTTGCTCTGAAATGGAGGTAGTATCACAGGGCTTGTAGTCCAATTATAGATGAAAAAGACTTAAGTGAACTGCTTGTTCTCATCTAGGCTATCTCGACATGGTGAGGTACCGTCATAAGAAATTTTCAAATTTGGTGAGATTACAGTTCAAATAGCCTCATTTTTCTTAGCTGTTTGGAAGTTGAAATACAAGGGTAAATTAATATGTGGCTTATGGTATCCAGGTCAGATACACCAATCCTTATTTTCTATGAAGTCCAAGGAGGTAGCCATGTTTATTGACATCTGTCAATGCCAGTACTTATCCACATTTGATTTCATCTTGACCTTGGTCCCGAAAATCTCATCCTCTTCAGCTACTTATATCTGAACTTCTTAGTGATAAACTCATGCATCTGATGAAGTGATCTACAGTCCTCAAAACCTTCCTAGGGAACTTATGAAGCCTCTTCCCCCAACTCCTCAGAATCCCACAGCCAAAGGAGTGCTAATAGTGTTGTTTCAAGTTGCTATTTCTGTCCTTGAGGAATCTTGAAGTGATGGGTTTTGCTCTATGGAGGTTCAGAGAATTCCCTACACCCCCCAAATGCCAAAAACCACAAATCAAAACTGAAATAGCTGTCTGGGCATTCTGTTTTTTTTTTCCCATGAGGGGAAGGATCAATTTCAGCTTTTGGGGGCCAAGTAATGCCTATGGTGGGAGATGGGACAGAAATTTGGCCCCCAGCCCTATTGAAGTTGCCCATCTATGTTTTAAACCCATGGGAAGATGCCTCATGTTCATCTAATAGTGTGCTTTATTCTTGGTGCTGAATTTTGTTTCATTTAGGGAAACAAAAAGGTGTTATAAACACTGGCTTCTTGTTGTGTGTGTGTGTTTGATTCAAGATGCCTAAATATTGCGTCCCGAATAAACAATCTTGTTGTACTTAGAGTGTGTGTGTGTGTGTGTGTGTTTGATTCAAGATGTCTAAATATTGTGTCCCCAATAAACAATCTTGTTGTACTTAGGAAGCTGTGATGTTAAGGCAGAAAATGAACCACCCCCACCACTCCTTGAAACAAGATAAAGAGATTTTCTAGGAAGGGCTGCCTTTAGAAGAGATTGTTTCCATTCTGTTCAACCATCAAACAAACAGAATGATAATCAAGCACTACTAATTCTCCTGCTGTACCCATTCCACTTAGATGTTACATTTCTTGTTAAATAAAGTGCATGAAAAAGTCAGCAGTCTTTGGCCAGACCAAAGACCTTAAAGCAATCATTGGCTTTTCCTAATTCTGGGGTAGGGAACATGTGGCCATCCAGATATTTTGGCCTATAGCTCTAATCAGCCCCATTCATCATGATCAACGATAAAACAAAGCAGGAATTGTCATCTAAAATATCCAGATGGCCAAAGATTCTTCAATATTGCCCACATGGATCTGATTTCAAGATGTTTAGGAGGTGAAACCTTTGTGGAGTTGTGCAGGGAAGCGGTGGTGTCTGTCTCTCTGTGTGTAAAGGTGTGTTATGGAGGGAATGACATTAGCTTCTTCTTAGAACTAGGAAAAGTTACTTTGGGGATCATAAATTCCATGACTATGTTGGCTGAGAGATTCTGTAACTGTAGTCCAACACAGAGACACCACTGAGACACAGAAACAGGTACACCTTTTTCTAACACCTCTCCAGCTACTTTGATGGTGGTGTCAAGAGGGGGGAAGTTCCACCTTCATACTTCTTCCTCAGCATGCTTTAAGAATAATACTGCTAACGTCATGGCCAAAATGGAATGAGTGTGGCTAAGAGTGCACAGGACTCTTGGAGTCTAAAGAAACTAGACCCTGCTTTGTCAGCAAAGTGGAAACGTACCAGACTGTGTAGAAATAGTTACCAGAGATGAGAAAAACATTTTTACTAGAGATGGCCTTGGCAGAGACAAAAGGGAAGTGAAAGGTGAAGACCTTTGAACAGCAACAGCAGATGTGCAATGCACTGACCCACCACCAATGGACAGGAAAAGAGGAATTATCCCAGTTGAGTTGGAGGGGAACGCCCAGTGCCAGCATGGCTATAAAGCAGTGGTGAAGAAAAGCCCCATTCTTCTATTCCTCTCGGCCAGTCTGAGATGGTTCCAAACCCCCTCTTATTGACTGATCATCTGTGAGCTAGGGCTGGGTAAGTGTGCATGTGTATGGGAGTGAAGACTTGCTGCTTATTGCTTAGAACTGTTGTTCGAATCTATAAAATATAAACAAAACCACTCTACTTGTGTCATCATGTGTCATACTCCTTTCTAGTCCTTGCCACTAACATCATTTACTTCCAAGGCATGCCAGAGAAAATACCGGATTGACAGTCAGATCTCTGATTAGTCAGTTCCCATGAGTCAGAGGCTTGGGCTGACCCAAGATATTTTGCTACCTGAGGCAGAGCCATGAAGGACACATTCCCCACCCCACATTCTCATCAAGAAAAGATCCATAGGACTGTAAACCAGTCAAGAAAATCCCATAAGCACACCACGTTCTCACTGCCAATAAAAACAGAATTTAAAAGTAAGAGTAACTATGAGAGGACAGGAGGGGCGGACCAAAAAGGACAGTTGAAGAGTTAGTTAGATAGTTAGGCAGACAGTTAGGGAAGAGAGTTGAAGAAAAGAGGTTGCAGATAGGGGATTGAAGAGAGAGTTAGGATATTGTATTGAGAAAGTTAAGAGAGATTAAGTAGATAGTCAAAGAGTATTGTAAAAGTAAATAAGAACACATACAAACCCAAGTGAAAGCAAATGATATTTAATGAATAATTCTAAACATCTGTGATTTCTCCTGTGATTTACATAACAACTATATTATCAATAAATCTGTTGTTTTGGCAGCACGTGTCTTAGATTTCTCTTTTTGGTATTGAGGGAATAATACCTGGTGGCAGCGTGAAGTGAGGACAAGCATCCAGAGAGTGGACTTGTGGTTTTAGGGAAAATAAAACAAAGGACACAGTGTGTACGTCACACTGACTTTTTTTTTGCCCTGAAGTAAAGCCAGACCACGCATAGGTCTGATCTGATTCGGAAGTGTGGAATCAAGAAAAATTGTTTGCTTTGTGTCTGAAAGCCCTCTCCATTAGGGGTGTGCACTGGATTCAAAGAAATCCAAAATTACAAACCAAATCAGTCTGGTTCAGACCAATTTATATGAGGTCTCCATTGAAGCAGGATGGCCAAATTCAGCTTTGAGGGTGAAGAAAAATTAATTTACAAATCGATTTGTGTCTGGAGCAGAGTTCAAATCACTTCAGCCATCTGCTTTTCTCTCTTTTATAAAAATGTTTTTAAAAAAACTCTCCTGCCTGAAAATCCTGCAGATTGAGTTCTCTGTTATCAGGGCTTATTGCGTCTCCACATTTTGTACATATCTGTGTAAACACACAGCAAGTTATAACTGTCTTAGTTTTCCAATAGAAGTCAATGGAGGACCTTTGGCCATCACAGTCTTTGGGCTTTCAAGTCCCAGAAGCCCTTGCCAGTCGGGCCACAGAGATTCAGGCAACTGTGGTCTCCTAAACATTGACTCGAATTTGAGACAGACCTCCGCTCAGATGGGGCATGAATCCACCAAACTGGAATACGTTCTACAGTTCCATATTTCACTCCATCTCAGACAGGAGGGACCTACATACAGGCTCTGGTCTCCATGCCACTGCTCATCCGTCTTGAAAAAACAAAGCAACCCTTTTCTTCGGTACCATCTTTTCCTTTGTCGTTATCCTTTGTCCCTCAAGTCATCAGGACAAAAGGGGGAGGCAGCCCTTGCTTGTGTGACAGACTCAGCGAGCCAAGAATAGAACCTCGTTTTCTTGTTCATTAACAGCTACTTGCTTCCTTCCTGACCGCCTCAGTGAAGGGAGGGGAATCACCACAGCAACCAGGACTGAGTCGGCCCCTGAAAAGCAGTAGCTATTCTGCCAACCCAGGAGCACATTTCCCTTCTCCCTCCCTCCCGTTTTCTAGCCTTGATGCCAGAAGGAACACAAGCTGCTCGGTAACTTCGGTTACACACCGGGATATCTCGGCAATGTTGGCTGCACCCCATGAATTATTACACTTCCCTTAAAGAAGAAATTAATGTAACTCTGCTCAGCAGCTCACCTCATCCTTTCCCTTGGCCTAAAAACAGAGCCTCTTTGTACGCCAGAATAATGTAACTCTTTCTGTGCCAGAGACAAGCCTGTTTTCTTCAGTGCAATAAAGCATGAAATGCTGCAAGAAATTTGGGGAAGTCTTTTCTTTTAAAGTAGGTTAGGTATTAGAAGTGAGCTGATGTGCCCCCTCCCTGATTGACCCCTAAAGGGTTGTTTAATGGGTTTGTGCTTTTTAATGTTGTGCATTTTTAAATACCTGTACACAAACCACCCCAGGTGTGGAGAGACTGATATTCATCAAGGTAAACCTTCCCTTGTTGGGCTTCCCCTCATTAAACCCGAAGAGAATAGGGTCTCAACGACAGCCTCTTTGCTACCACAGTGCCTGCCTGCCTGCTTGAGGTCCTACTGGCTCACCACATCATCTGCCTGCCCACCTGCCCGTTGGTCCCAATGCTCATCTCTTGCCTTTCCAGGCCAAAATGTGAACTCAAGTCTCCAAATGCTCTTCTCGGGCCAAATTCTGAAGTCAAAAAGCCCATTTCCTGACTTCTCAAGCCCAGACCTCTGCACTCAAGCCTCCAAATCCTGAAGTCAAACCCTCTGCCCTACATCCATGTAGCAGATTTCTGCCACTACGATACCAATGTAATAAAAAAGCCTGCCTGTGCCAATGTCCCTCCCCACACTATCCCAGAAGAATCACATGGGTATTTGAGGTCCCTGAATCCCACCTTAGTGCCTGGGGGCATACTCTGCCAAAATATCATACAATCATCTTAGGGTCAGAAGGGACCTTGGAGGTCTTCTAGTCCAACTCCCTGCCCAAGGCAGGAGACCTCATACCATCCACAAGACGTCATAACAATGCCAAATGTCTCAGTGCCTGCTGGGGGCCAACCCTGCCCAAATGCCCAACTTCTCCATGCCTGGAGGCAAACCAAACTACCTCTATGCCATCTGTCTCTGTGCCTGGAATCTTCTGTGGACCAAGCTACTGAATAACAGAACAGAATAACACTTTATTGACATTGCATGCGCAACGAAATCACCAGAGTGCTGTCCAGACAGTGCCTCACTCATTCAGCTAAAACTCCATGTAAACACCTTACAAAATTCCAACATAATACAACAGCAACAAAATACATTCACATGCAAACCCTACAATCAAATCAAATTAAATCTTAACTGAATTTAGCAAAGTCGCCGCCCTTGGATGAAAACTGTTTTAAAATCTATTTGTCCTTGTTTTAATAATGGAGTGACTGGTGTACTGTCCCTGGGAGCTGGTCCGGTCCAGCACTTTGGTCACCCAGGCCAGCTTGATTGGCTGCACGTGGCTCGTGTCCATAGTGGCCGGGTGGGCTCTTCTTCTAGCTCGTCCGCCCAATATAATACAAGAGCAACAAATTACTTTCACATGCAACCCTACAATAAAATCAAATTAAGGTTTGAGGGGTTCTTCCTCCGCGTAGTCCCCACTTTTGTCACTGCCGGAGCTGGATGTCATTCCCAGGATGGAGGGTTGGGTCATGCAGGACATCAGCTTGGTCAGGACCAGCATAGCCAGGGATGGGTCCCAACCAAAAGCACATCTGGCAACTATGTCACACACAATTGTGGGCGCCGCAGGCGTGAGGGCGGCTCAGCGCAGCCGGCGGGCTTCCTGTTCTGACTCCAGAATGCCTTTCATGTTGCTGATAATGGAACGGCTGGTGCACTGGCCAGTCCGCCGAACATAAAACAGGAGCAAACCATTTCTTCCACATACAACCCTACAATAAAATCAAATTAGCAAAGTCGCCGCCCTTGGATAAAAACTGTTTTTAAATCTTTTTGTCTTTGTTTTAATAGATCTATATTGTCTTCCTGATGGCGAGTAGACATGGTCTAGAGGGGCGGGGTAAAAATCCAATCAATCAATCAATCAATCAATCAATCAATCAATCAATCAATCAATCAATCAATCAATCAATCAATCAATCAATCAATCAATCAATCAATCACTTCAAGCAAAGATGTGTCCAGGGTGCGAGGTGTCCCTAGCCGAAATGACTAGATAGGCGGGGTATAAATACAATAAATAAAATAAATAATAAAATAAATAAATAATATTTTGTGCTTTTTAAAGACAGCGGGACCTATACAGGTCCTCCAAGGTGGGGAGGGGACACCCAATAGTAGCTTCTGCTATTAAGCGATGGCCCCCCCTCCCACACAAATCTTTGTACTGCTTTGGATCCTTTCCTCAATCTTTAACAAAGGCAATCAATAGCCTCTTCATCAGAAACTTTGCTTCCATGTTCTTTCACCCAACAAAATGACCGTTATTATTTTTACAATGAACTTTTTCTGCTCAATCACAGGCTCCCTGGTTATCTGGGTGCATAATGAAGCACTCAGATGGCACTTCAGCATTACACTCAATCACTAATCCACATTTGCAGGAGCTTTGGAAGAATAATCTAAAATGGTCCTTAATCAATGGACAAAGCTGGCGCTGTTATTCCAGGGTGGCAGAATACAGATGGAGACTGAGGACACAAGACAAAGAAGCATTTACACAGCTGGCCCTCACCAAATCCTACCATAAATAAATAGCTCCTCCAAATTTGATTTATACCAATTAAGGGCCTGACCCTGAAAGAATACAGACCCTGTCTTTCTCAATCATTCCTGGCTAAGGCAGGTACAGAAGTACATCAAATATTGCTTTATTTCACTTAAGCAACAGCTGTAATGGAATTATGGGGAGGGGAGTCGACCGGCTGCCGCTGGCTTCATTTCACCAGAGTCTGATGTTAATCAAATCACAAACTCTAATGCCATTAGCATTATTACAATCATGCACATAACATTGCTCAGCTTGGGACAATAAAGATCAAGTCGCCAGAGCAAATGGCTACTGCCCTGGGGAAAGCCTCTGAATCATCAAGGATCATTTCCCTATCTGGCATGAAAGGAGGTGGAAGGAAGGAACCCCAGATCAAGGAAACAGGAAATCCACTTAATTCTGTGGGAGCAGAGCAGGGACCACTTCCAGCAGACAATTTTGCATCAGGTGCAGTGTTTAAGACTCAAAGAATCCCTGTTCTGATTTAAACAGATACGAAGAAACAACCATATGCTTTGTCTGAAGACAGATAATAATCTTTGTGTGTTTGTTCTGTGCCGCCTGAACCAACCCTAATAAGGCTTTCGGTGTAAGTGAGATATTTAAGGAGTGGTTTTAACAGTTCCACTTCCCCTGTGAGTTTCCATGGCTGAGCAGGGATTTGATATCTTTTCTCCAGAGTCCTAGTCTGTTGCTCTATCCACTACACCACTAGTCTTTAAGAAAGTGTAAACTTCAAATATGAAAATATTTGACAATATTTGAAAATATATGAAAATATTTGAAAATATATGAAAATAGCAATACAGTGGTGCCTCGCTTAACAGGCACCCCGTTTAACGACGAGAGTGTAAACTCAAGACATGAAAATAGCAATACAGTGGTGCCTCGCTTAACGGGCACCCCGTTTAACGACGAAATCGCATAGCGATTAACTTTTTGCGATCACTCTTGTGATCGCTTTGCGATGGTCTGAATGGGTTTTTTTCGCTTTGCAATGATCGGTTCCGTTTCTCTTACCAATCATCGCAAAGTGATGATTTTTTAAACGCTGATTGGCGGTTTCAAAATAGCCGCCGGGTAAAAAATGGCCGCCCGCTGTGTTTAGGAACAGATTCCTCGCTTACTGGGCAGCGAAAATGGCCGCCGTATGGAGGATTTTGCTTTAAGGTAAGTTTTTAGCCCATAGGAACGCATTAAACAGGTTTTAATGTGTTTCTATGGGCTTTTTAAAATCGCATAGCAATGAAATCGCTTAGCAGCGATTTTTGCTGCACCGATTATCGTCGCTATGCAAGGCGCCACTGTACTGTAAAAGCTTTTATATAAAATCTGTGTTATGTCCATATTGGGACCACTGTGTCCAGTTTTTCTCACTTTGGAAGTACTGTAATTGAAGAGAGGGCTATATTTTACACTCTTTTTTTAAAAAGTCTTAGGCTATTTGCGGGCTATATTTTACACTCTTTTTTTAAAAAAAGTCTTAGGCTATTTGAGGAAATCCCACACAGCAAATGATGGGGTCCTGGGCAAGGGTCAGGGCCATCTAGGGAAGTTCAGAGGGCCACAGTGAGGACCCAGAAGGACTGCATTTGGCCCCCGAGCCCAACCATCTGCACTCCTGTTCCAATGTATTCCATACCATCTTTCCCTGCATTTGATGAGTCCATTTCCAAAGTCACTTTCTCCTCCCAGGTCGGAGAGTGGGTTGGCTCCTTCGATGTGTGAGTTATCGCTTGGGCAGGACGCTTGTTCTCTTCGTCTGAGGTTGTTTTGCTATAGAACAAAAAGAAAACAAGATGTGAGATCTGGACCTCTAGAGATGGAATAAAGACCATGGTGTCTGATGGCTATAGAAGAAGCGATGGATGGGAAACGCCTACAAGACCAAACCAGGCATCTGGGAGGTCCTGCTTCAGTTTTTGCATCCGAGGAAAAATATTTTTTTTGTTGCCACATGTCATAAACAATAAGAGGCTGATGGCTATAGAAGAAGCGATGGATGGGCAACGCCTATAAGACCAAACCAGACATCTGGGAGCTCCTGCTTCAGTTTTTGCATTTGAGGGGAAAAAATGTTGTTGCCACATGTCATAAACAATAAGAGAAGGATAATGATAGCACTCATTGGGCCAATTTGGTATAATGTCTGGAGCTACAGACGAGATACATGGCAAGCATTTTGCTGCCAGAGTCCCTCTTTCCCAGATCAAAGTCCCAGGTACCCAAAGCAAGCCATGTTATTTTGCCACCTGAGGCACACAACCCCATAAGTGCCTCTGCCTGGCAATTAAAATGCAACCCTAATCATTTAAATAAAACTTCAGTTTTCTTTAGTTTCTTCAGTTTCAAGACAGGCAAAATCTACTGCCTGAGGCTCATCCAGGCTCATGGCAATGCCAGGATTGCAAGGATGTTGTCATTCCATGATTTTTTTCCCCCTGCATTGTAGATCTGGTACCGAGCAGGAGTCAGATTAGATGACTCCCATCTCTAAAGAACCTTGACACAACCACACATCAAAGTCCACCATGAGGTGGCTTCTGTGCAGTGTCTTATCCAAGTGCACAGAGGCACTGGCAATTCAGAGGTCGGGTAAGTTAGATGGGTGGGTGGGTGATGATCTCTCCAAATTCTCCAACCTTGTTTTGGGGCTGTGCAGCTTGCCCAAGGCCACCCAGGTTGGCTCTTTTCCCAAGGAGAACAGTAAGGAATCAAACTCCCAACCCTAGATGCTCTGACTCACTATCCAGCCAGTCTGGAGAAATCAGGTAGATTTTTTTCACCCAATATCTCTAGAAAGAGGAGCAATTTTTCAATAGTTTCTCAGGGCTGGGCCTCACTACTAGCAAAGGCAGTAGCACCGCTCCCCACCCATTTCTTTTGATGCTCCTGTAGGCTACTGTGGTGGCAATGGACGGTCTGAAAGTCCCAAGAAAGGGTGGCGGCGGCTCTAGTTGGTATGATCCTCTCTACAAAAGGAGTACTTTCAGTGGAGATTTTTAAATGGAGGTTGGAGGGTCATATCTCGGGGAAGTTTTAGGTAGGGATTTCCAGAATCAGCAGGGGTTAGATTAAATGATCCTTGGGACTCCTTCCAAATCTACCATTCCATGATCTTATGAAGAATTCTTTCCTGTCCCTTGCTACCTAATCTCAGGGTTTAGAAAAGTTCCTTTTTTAAAAAATAGCATCTCCCAGACTCCCCCAGCTGGCAGAGTAACTTTCCCAAATTGTATCTCATCTTGACATGCCAGGAGAAAAACCCACAACCTTTTGCATCCGCAATATATAGCAGCCATGGCCTTTCTCCTGCCATATGGAGCTTGGGGATCTCAGCCCCACCCCAAATGCCTGGAAGTAATTCCTTTTCCAACATCTTCTACGGCTTGCAGTGTAAACCAAGACACCAATGCTGAGGTTACTGCTGGGTTTTACACAACCCATTCACTTTACTGCAAGAACATAATCCTGTTAAATCACAAACAGCAGCTCCCTAAATCTGAGATGCCTTGGAACGGCACACAGGAGTTCTTTCCTGACACAAGACCTCTAAGCCTTCTTAATGAAACCAGAGAGGGAGGACGTTTGAAAGTCGGCTTTATTCTCCTCTCCCTTCCTCCTCCCTGAGTCACCTTATTCCCTCATGAGGGCCAAGACTTTATAATCCATTCTGTTGCTGTACCACAGAATTGGCCCACCTGGGAACTAGCACAAAGCAGAATGTGGTTCTCTGAGGGTCACATGACCAGGGAACGCCTCTCATTCCAGCTCCCTAAATCAAGTCTCTATTCCCTACCCCACCCCTCAAACATCCAAGCTCTAATCCAGTACAATGGCTAGAAGGGAAGTCCACATAGGCTTTGAGGCAGTGTGATCCAATTTATTCGTTATTACAATACAGAGGTCCACGAATCAGATGCAAATAATGTGAGGCAATAGGGTCCATTAGCCTACTGCTCTCCCTGAGCAGTTTGTACAAATCCACATGTGAATTATTACAGATCCTAGATTCTACAGTCAAAGCCTCAATGTGACCAACAGAGCCACACAGATATCAAAGAGAAATCATTAATCTTCCCATTTTAAAGATGCTGAACATCAAGGACAAAAGATAAGCTACTAGCACAGACCTTGCTATAAGACAGGTTTGTTTTTAAGCCTTTCAGCAATGAGTGAAGAATTCTTGCCCATCACCCACCAATCATTTATTTATTTATTTATTTATTTTATTTTATTTATATCCTGCCCACCTGGTCTGGTCGACCACTCTGGGCGGCTATCACCAGGCTGAACTGAAGATTGACAACCAGCTTTTGCCTGTGCCTAGACTAGATGACCTTTTACATCCTTTCTGTTTCTGGGATTTTAGGAATACGGTCATGTGGACCAGAGGACTCTGGGTGCTGTAGTCCAAACAACAACAACAACAACCTGCAAGCTCTGTCTGCTGGAGTTTATGGAAATTAGGATCAATCTCTGTGTTAAGAAAAATGATACCGTAAATTCTGCATAAAGAGATTTTCTTAAAAGAGGGCTGAGCATCATATACCATGCTAAAGCAGCAATCTTAAGCAGTTACTAACCTCTGGGTGATTATCCTGCCAGTATGCCTGACCTCCTCATAAATAGCTAAGGTTCAAATAGCTGAGAAGGTGCCAAGAAAACCACACTGAAGCTGGAGCACAACCAGCTACCCAAATGGAAAATCTAAAGGCGTGGTTTGGTGCTCAGAAGTTGCTATAGAGAATGAAGGAGTCAATGGGAAGCTCAAACTGGATTAAAACTGAACTAAGAATTGCCCAAAATACTTCTTGCCTAAGAAATTGGACCAGATTTGTGTTTTCTGCCCGCATGTCTCAAGGAAAGGCAAACTGAAGAATTTTCTTTGAATATACTGTACTTTGCTTGCTTGTTTATTCCATCTCCCTATTTTTGCTTTGTTTCTTGTGGTCGCTATTCTTTCCTGTCACCAGTACCAAAATTACACTGAAAATAAGCAATCCACAAGTCAAGAGTTCAGATTACAACACATATCTAAGCAAACATAAATGAAAAATTCCCTAAAATCAAAAATACCATAACACTATCTGAGTACTCTATAAGGAGAAAACTCTGGAAAGAGTTTTAACAGGGAATCAACTTGACTGGGTGCAATTCCTAAATTTAAAGCCCTTCTAATCTGACATGGTTTAGAGCCTCAGATTATCTTAATCCTTGTACAGCCCTGTAGCCACACCATTGCTACAATGCCCCAGCAGGATACTGGGCCCAGAGGAATTCAAAATGGTGACTTCCAATGACAGCGCTTTGGAATCATCACCTCTTGTACCTGAAATACAAAGAAAGATGCTGTGCTATTACTGCCATTAATGGTGACCCCCCCACCATTGCAAACAACCCACCATGTATCATCAG